CAGTGAAGACTGAGTTGAATAACTGAGGAAACAGATGGTAATCATGCCTACTGGGCTTCATCAGGACTCTTTAGTAATAAACCTTCATGTCATGGTGTGATATCTGCCATAGGTACATGGGCCCCCTGCCCCGAACTTGGGAAATCACCTTTGCTGGCGCTTATCATCTGAAGGACCATCTCTGCGGCACCACGCTCATGCAGCCGAGCTTGCTGATACAGGGTTTTCTGCTTCTCCATCTCTTTCTCCTGGAAAAAAGAAATCATAGGGAAAGATCTGTTCCCCACCTCCACTGTCCCCCACCAGAGAACTCACCATGGGGAGGTGAGCTGAGAGAATCCTCAGTTGCCTAAGGAAGGCAACACACATAATTTAGGATAAAGGAGACCTCTGCAGCTTATGGACACACACTACCCAGCTTCCCCAAACCACCTACCCATCATTCACTAACATTTTGATGACGAATTTTCCACTTTATGTATAGACAGGTAACACATGCATTCCCCTTTGATATGACAATCACAGGAAGAAACCCAAAATTAAAAATATTTGTTTTCAATGTTCTGTCACACAGGAAACCTGCTGAGGGGTCAACTTGATCATACGTACACATTTAAGTGTAGGAATGCCACCTATCTTCAGTGCTCAGACCGCAGTTAACAGACACTTGCCACCAGACACGGGTTACTAGAGTGCCAATGTTCTCCAGAACTGTGATTATATTCATTTAGTTCTGTTGTGTCCTGTTGTGCACTGTGTCTATAAAAGGGGACAACTAACACACTTTAATCTTTAGAGGCTCAAGGTCCCACACTTCCTCAAAATCAAAATTGCTATCAGTATGCATTTATAGAATAGTAGTGCAAAAACCATCCCAGTGTCTTCAGGGCTCTGACTTTCCATTTTGGGATGTCTGAATTTGTCCTTCTATGGCCCCTGTTACTACAGTGCTTAGGTAGAAGTAGAAAACTTTCCATGAGAATGAACACAGTCGGGTGGTTTGCTGACTGGCACCCTGCTGGCTATTTTTCTGTTAGGCAGACAGACAGACAATGGAACCACAGCTAAAGGGTATCTTTATCCAAGCAGATCTGCCAACTCAGATACACATGGTGGTCAAGCCTCATATGCTAATGTCAGTGTCCACCTTGAAGGCCCAGCCTATTGGCTGTGGAGGGTGGTCCTGTTTTTAATCTTCATGAAAACTTACTTCAAATGTTTTCTCTTTGTCTTCCTCCTCTTCTTCCTCCTCACCACTATGACAACTCTGGACTCCGTGGAAAGGAAGAGACACACAACCAAATTAAAGGTGTCTAATAAACATACTCTGCTCTACTTTGCAAGGGCAGGGGACAGGCACCTTGGGATCTTAGCACTTACTAAAACCAGGAATGCTTTGACCACTACAGGGCAACATTCTGTTCTAAATACCATCTTTGAAGTTATCAAGGGGTTCAGAAAATAAAAATGGGAACACAGAGATGACATCATCTAAGGGACCTATCTGGTTTAACCACAGACACACACTCTTCTACCTAGTAAAGTTTCTGGTGTAAATGGGAGACAGAAATGGAGAAACCTGTCGCTTTATAGACACAGCCCCAGAGGACTGGTAATGAGATTGGGACACCTAGCATGTGAATCCTAAAGTGCACACAGACTAAGACAATAGGCAGAAAACCCACAGACTAAGACAATAGGCAGAAAACCCAGGTGTACCTTGGCCATCATGCTGGAATAGGAGGTGTACAAAGAGTCATCTTCCAATTTGCTGGAAAGAATGGAGGAAATATTTAGCAGGCTACTTTTCGGACCCTGAAAAAAAGACTGAGAGCTATATAAATCTCACATGATATGCACTAGTGAATTAATTAGAAAACTTCCTCCCCCACTGATTCTTAGAAACCACTCTGAAAATCCGGATCACATTGGCTTGACATGGAATTCGGGGATGAAGGTTACAGTTTCAGGCTGTTTAATCTTTCAGATTCAGTGTCCGGCATTATGATGAGAGGAGTGTGGCTTAATGTAGTTTCTGTAGATATTTCTCAATGGCCAAAATAGGGTAGAAAGGAGGGCTGCTCAACTCTGGCATCCCTTCTACCCACTGCTGCCTGCAAGAGGAGGGTTTTGGACGGACACAACCACCCCTGGTGCCTGCGAGAAGCTCTGGCAGTGCTGACCTCCTCTCAGTGAGAGCATTGCGGCTAAAATGGAGAATGATCTGATGAAGCGGGTCAGGTTGCTTTTCCGTCTCTTCCTCTTCCTCCTCTTCCACCTTGGGAGATTTCTATACGTGCCTGCGAGAAGCTCTGGCAGTGCTGACCTCCTCTCAGTGAGAGCATTGCGGCTAAAATGGAGAATGATCTGATGAAGTGGGTCAGGTTGCTTTTCCGTCTCTTCCTCTTCCTCCTCTTCCACCTTGGGAGATTTCTATACAAACCAACACAGACAGCCTTTAGCATGGATTTCAGCATGTGCCACAAACTGCATGCGAACAAAGAGAAAGTAAAGCGCAAGGCACAGAGTGCATCAGACTAGCAGCACAAAAAGAAACCACGACATCATATACTTATTTCAGGATAGAAGCCCTAATGATGCAAGGTTTGGGATACATAGATACATATTTTTTTCCAGCCAATCAGGAAAACATTCCAATTTTTAGGTTAAAATAAAAGGAAAAGCAAAAGCCTGACTACAGGGGCAGAGCTACAGACCCCAATCAGCAGAACTCTCATGCAAGCTCTGGGCACCTGAGTTCAGGAGGGAAACGCCCTGCAGAGTAACCGAGAGACCGGGTCTCTCTGGCCAACAGTTGAAATTTCCCTTGGAGGGCTGGGCTGGAGATAGGGGCGGGGCAAGAGTTATAAAGCACTGGAGCCGTTTGGGGTCTAAAACTATTTTAGACTCGACTCAGCAAAACACAGCTGTTTTTTAACCTCATTCATGATTCTAAAATTCTCGTTCCAGAGAGCTGCCATCCTGGAGCTGCAAGCCTTGCACTTTTCCTCTTATCACATTTTTTTCTTTGTCTCCTTTTACAGAAAGGGAAATAGCAACTGATGCCAGAGGTATAAGTGAAGTTCCGAGCAGTGCAGAGCCAGCAGGGGGGACCGTATCTGGTAAACTGGTGAGAAGTTCGCAGGTGGTGCGAACGCTTCAGGGAGGGAGAGGGCTGAGACGATGCTCATCGGCAACGTCACACTGATCAAGAAACCAAGGGGCCGGCCCCGTGGTGCACTCGGGAGAGTGCGGTGCTTGGGAGCCCAGCGGCGCTCCCGCCACGGGTTCGGATCCTATATAGGAATGGCCAGTGTGCTCACTGGCTAAGCTAAGCGTGGTGCGGGCGACACCAAGCCAAAGGTTGCGATCCCCTTACCGGTCACAAAAAAGACAAAAAAAAAAAAGAAACCAAGGAAGTGTCTGTCTCACCAACAGGAATATATGAGAAAAATGAAGGACATAAAGATAAATGGAAGAAAAATGAGAGAGAAAGGCATAAAAGAAAAGAGGAAAAGAAACAGAGGGCGATAGGGAAAGAGAGAAAGGAAAGAACTGTGCAAAAGAGAGAATATGAGAAACACAGGGCAAGACTAATGGAGAGAGCAAGTGATCAGAGGAAAAGGCAAACGGGAGAAGTAAGGAGAAGGAGAAAAAAGAACCATGGGCTGGCCAAAGGCGGAGAGGCTGTGTTTTCTTTCTGAACCAGGATGAGGCTCTGTGTGGTTTGGCAATAACCTTTTTCTCCCTTGTGTGTCATTTTAAGCGGTTCGACAGCATGAAGTCTGTTAGAGACAGGGCATGCCACGTTTTTTTGAAAGGCCAAATCCAGAAATGTGAGATGCAGGACAGGTATTTAGATGCATCTTCCCCCAAAAAGAGCTACTGATTAGGAATGTGGGGCCTTGGCTTGGGTGGGGTGGCCTCCTGCAACCAAATGGTGCTCAAAACTTAACTTAGTAGCATGAACTCCCCATGACATGGCTGTGCATCTCCAGAAGTATTAGTTGTTAATGATGATGATGATAATAGTACTAGCAACTCCAAGTGAAAATTCATCCTCTGGCTCTTAGGACCATTCGCAGGTCCTCCCCTGAGAATTTACACAGTTAGTTCCTTTCGAATTTATACACTCCATTCTTTGTGAACGTTTAACTCTTATGACACACACAAATATGAAAATCAAATTCATTCACACCCATATCTGCTCCCAGTTGAGTCAGTACTTACAGCCCGATGATAATACTACTAGCAACTCCAAGTGAAAATTCATCCTCTGGCTCTTAGGACCATTCGCAGGGCCTCCCCTGAGAATTTACACAGTTAGTTCCTTTCGAATTTATACACTCCATTCTTTGTGAACGTTTAACTCTTATGACACACACGAATATGAAAATCAAATTCATTCACACCCATATCTGCTCCCAGTTGAGTCAGTACTTACAGCCAAATCCTGTACTAGTTTCTCTTCAAAGGAATACTCCTCTGTTTCTATCCAAAATCTCTGATAGCCATGGAGGAAGAGGTTAATAGAGCGGTGCCTGAGCGGAAGGGGTGAGAGGGAAGTCAAGAGGATCCATGGAACTCGTTAGTTTAGTTTTGGTGGTTAGTGATTAGTAAGAGGGATAGACTTTTGTACAATTCTTGTCTCTGATTGGTCAGGAGGCCAGTAGCACACCATAAGCATTTGTTTCCAAGAAATCAGAGCCTTCTAGCATGGCAGCTCCTGACTATCTGGAGCACTTTCTGAAAATAACAATGGCTAGTGCAAGATATGGCAGTACCTGTAATCCTCATCTTGTCTCATGCATCCTGATTACATTTCTCCTTTCATGAGGAATAAATTGCTAGATCAAGTACAGTCCTGAATTATTTGTTTCATATGACAATTTAGTAATTCCTTTAGGCTGACCACCTGTCAGGTAATCTAATCTTAATCATGCTGACAGTGAGTGGTTTAGTCTCAGACATTCTGAAAACACCAAAGTGTGGCTTCTTTTTGTTCTCCCAGGAACCACATGGGCAAGGTGCTCCCGCTGTCATGTAGGAAGGTCAGGCTTGGGCTATGTCATTAGCATATTTTCTGTGTGCCTCATGGATTCTAGCTGTGCCCCTGGGATCTGGGGACACTGAATAACTGGCATGAGTCACCCCCTATGAGCCAGGGTTGACTTCTGGGAATATTAGTCACCCAATAGCAGCTAAGTGTTTACCAAATGTGAGGGGAGTGGTGAGGAGGGAAGGGAAGGAAGATAAATGTCAATACCAGAGTCATTTAGACCTGGTCATGGTTTCTGGTAGAACATAGCTCTAGCCATCTTTCTTCAAAATCTGACCAATCAGAGTTCTTTTAAAAAATTGTACAAATTTGTGTTTTTATGGCAACGTTAAATCATGGTCAAGAAAGGAGGAGTGTGCAGAGAATGAGCAGGTCTCTCCACAGGTTACATTACCATTAAAATGGGTATAAGCCTGTCATACTGAGTTTTTTCATTAACCTTTTCCAGCCAAACCCGTTGAAAGGTGCTCAGGAAGAAATTGTTAATTTTGTGTCTGGAGAAAAGCATATAGATTTTCTTTTAAAAACTAACACCAGAAAAATAGTTTCCACATAATAAAATAAGTCCCTTCAGCCCTTTAGTTTGGAAGATTCCATGCAGTTTAGATCTTCACAAGGTGGGGAAGAGGAGTGGTCTCCACTACCATCAGCCTGTCAGTTAGTTGCTGTTGTGAAATCTACTCACAATCCTCTATGCTGGAGAGAATACCCAGGGTGACCCCTCTAAACCAACTGGGTTAGAGATGGCCATGATTCATCAAGGGATAGAACTGCTAAAGGAGCAGCCCAAATGTGTAAGAATGGTACTAATATTTTCAGTGGATTTAGAAAAAAATGCTTGGTTTTGAGAGATGTAATTTCTGCCTAGTTGGACTGGCCCTGGAGACATGCTTAGAGCCAAGCTGTTCTGGAGGCCAAATTAGCACAGCATCAGGCAGGAATCTCACCAGAGAGGAAAGTGAATGCTTTCTATTTCATTACTTCTAGAAAACAAACACAAACCCTATGCATTTTTGCTTTTTCTACTGGGCTATGCTATGAATTTCACTTTTCTGTCAAGACTTAAGTAGCCTTCACGCCCACGACTGCTTAATTTTTCAGCTTCTTATTCATTAATTCCAGTTGATTTAGTGGCACTTCATTCCCTTCCACAGAGAGTAATCTATTTTCTCAAGAGAGACTTGTTGGAGCAGGTGTGTGTCTTTGAGGCTGTGATTCTCCACCATTTTCAAAGAAGACTCTAACTAGGAAAGCTCAGCCAGCCAGTTGGCTCAGGACGGGATAATGGGACTCTCTGGACAAATGACAGCCAAGATCCACAATCTGATGAAAGCAAAATGTCAAGCATGGGAATGGCCCTTTATCTGATATTTCAAAGACGCACATTTATTTACTTGAGATTCAGGATATTCTCTTCCAAGTCAGTTTATTTTTCACTGATCAGGTGAGGATGTTCATATTGATTTGCAAGTGGATGAAGAACGGCTGATATTCAATCACCAGCCTTATGTATTGATCACAGGCCTGACCATGCCTACCTGCAAGGAGTCTGAGGATGGGAATGTTGTCACATTAACAGAGACACTGAGTCAGGCTCAGTGGTCAATGCTGGCCCCATCTGTCACTGACGTCCTTGCCTGTGTTGACACAGAATGTGTCAAAACTTTTCAGAAAAGTCTCCATATACTTTTAACCTCAAAGTATGGGCTAAAAGACCCGGTTAAAGACATCATGCCCCTTACTAGCTTCTTTTGGCCTCTCTATCCTTTCTTCATCTTGATGGCAAATACGCTGTGGTAAAGAATTTGCAAGTTACATCTCTGTTTCTTCTGAAGAAATAGTAATTTTGGTGTCAAGTGCCTGAGCAGAGAAATATTGTATGACCTGTTGATGGAATTTGGGGTAAAGTGTTTTAGACAACAATTCCCTTTTTTCCAGAAGCCTTTATATCCTCACAAAGAATCCCACCTTGGCAAAAGTAGAGAGGCTCCATATGCTCCTTGGTGCAAAATGGTGAGCTGAACAGGCACAGGGCCCTGGGGCATCTCATCTGGTTTCAGTCTGTGTGCTTACCTTGACTGCCTCAGCAGACCATTATACTATGCAGACTGTAATGGCTCCACGGGCCAGGGACTCCAGTTTGTATCCCTCAGATCAAGAATGTAAGGGCCGGAAAGAGCACAGCTGTGGGAGGATATCTTAGTTTCCATCACTGGTTCACATGCCAGAAGAAAATGACAGGAAGTACTTACCTGGGCAGGTTGTACAGAGGGGCCATCCTGAAACAGGCCACCACTGCCCGTTTCCGTTGCTTTGACAATAGTTTGTGCCAGACGGCCTTCTTGGACCTCAAAGGCTGTTCCACCTGAGAAGAATCACATGGATAGGTGCACACTGATCTTCTAGGTGGCAGAAGATAGTCACCTGTAACCCATACTTCTTAACTCAAAGAATTTTGGCTTCTCAGTTATAGTCAGTAATAGATAACTCAGTTTGTAAAAACCTTAGGTTTTCTTCCTTCCCCGATGGCTTTTAGCCATTTGTTCTCAACAGCAGCTTTACAAATCATGGGGGACACAAACAGATCACTTGAGCTAATGGCAAGAATTTGTAAAACACAGGAGAAAAAAATGAAGGGGTCTGCTACCTTGAGGCACCAAGATGACACTTGGGAGTGATCTGGGATAATCTTTGCTCCTTGTTTTCTGTCTAATGAGGGCATGTGTAACTGACAGCTGCATGTGGAGACAAGCTTTGTATTCACTAGGGTAGTCTTGCTTCATTGCTCTTCAGGGCAAATGCTCCTTACCTGCTCCAGGTGGAAGACAGCTGCTGAAATTCTCTGCACACGCTCCACTGTCTTTTCTGGATTGGAAGGTTCTTCACTTTTCAGAACATCTTTGTAGAGGTTCAGTTGCCATTTTACAGCTGGGTCATCAGACTGGAAATTTAAGCATACCCATGAGTTAAGCAATTTCCTGTACCTCTGGTACTGAAAAAAGCCTTTTATTCCTACCACAGTTCCATAGTACCAAGGTTCTCTTCTATTACTGCCTCTCTCATTTTCTCTATTATCATGTTCTGGAATACTGTAGACACTATGTAGGAACTTCTCATTTTAGCCTTCATGTATGAACTTTTTTGTGGTATTTTGCACCCCTTTATCTCTATGCTGCATTTTGGATGATCTCCTTAAAGCAATCTTCCAATTTATAAATACTCTTTTCAGCTGTTTCTAGCCTATTTTTAAACTCATTTATGGACTTTATTTCAATGACTAATTTTTTATTTTTATAATCACTATGAGATCTTTTTTCAAACCCATCTTCCCCTTTCCTTTTTAAAAAAAATGTCAAATTATTGCTTTATCAATTCTATTGCTTCCTTTATCTCTAAGTGTTTTAACTATATTTATGTTTAAATCCCTTTCTATAGTTCCTTAAGCTTGAATTCTTCTTTTTGTTTCATTTGCTGACACTCTGATGGTGGTGGATTTCCTTACATGCTTTGTAATTTTTTTTTTTTTATAAGAGCTTGTCTTCAGGAAAAGACTATTAGCATCCCAGACCATATTTTAGGAAGTGGAAACTCTTTAAGTGGCTTCACGGTTGTCTCTGCAGGAGATTCCTGGATTTCACCAGTTCAAGGCTAATTTTATGCGAGTTTATCTCTCTGCGTTTATGCACAGCATGGCAATTAGGTCTCACATTCCTCTTCCTTTAAGGTTATTAAAAATCCCACCCCTTTAGATATATATTTGGCTTGGAGAACTCCATGAGTTTTCCCATCAGCATCAACTTCTTCCCATTACTGTGATTTAGAGTATCTTCTTTTTTATGGCACCTGGGATTTCTTTGTATTGCCTTTTTTCTAGTATATTTTTATCCGCCATTCCTATATGTTTTGGGAGGAAAGGAGAGGCTTTTTGTG